ATCTTTCTCTGACTGGGTTATTTTGCTTAGCATTATGCTTTTAAAGTATATTTTGTTGCATATGAGGATTGGTACTCAGGCTTTTTTTTCTTTTCCATTTGCATGGAAAAGTTTTTTCTATCCCTTCACTTTCATCCTGTGTGTGTATTTTGTTTTGAGGTGGGTCTCTTGTAGACAGCATATAGTAGGGTCATATTTTTGTATCAATTCAGCTACCCTACACCTTTGATTAGAGCATTTAATCCATTTACATGTAGGGTTATTATTGAGAGATTTTTATAGCCATTTTGATTCTGTATGGCTAGGTTTCTCTCTCTGTTTCTTCTCAGCAATCCCTTTAGCATTTCTTGTAATGCTGGCTTGGTGGTGATAAACTCCTTTAGACTTTTTTGTCTGGGAAGCTCTTTATTTGACCATCTATTTTGAATGATAGCCTTGCTGAATATAGTAAACTTGGACTCAGATCCTTGCTTTCCATTACCTTGAGAACTTCATGCCATTCCCTTCTGGCCTGTAGAGTTTCTGATGAGAAATCAGGTGTCAGCCTTATGGGAACTCCTTTATAAGTAACAGTTTTCTCGTGCTGCCTTTAAGGTTTTCTGTTTCTCTTTAATTTTTGGCATTTTAATTATGATGTGTCTGGTCGTGGGCCTTTTTGGGTTCTTCTTGCTTGGGGTTCTCTGTGCCTCCTGAACTGGTGTGACTTTTTCCTTTACCAGGTTAGAGAAGTTTTCTACCATTATTTCTTCAAACACCTCTATTCCTTTCTCCCTTTCTGCCTCTTCTGGCTTTAACATCATTACTCTGAACTCTGTTTCAGATAAATTTCTTATCTCTGCTTCATTTATCTTCTTCTGGAGAATTCTCTAGTTCTTTCATTTGGGGGTTGTTTGTTTGTTTCCTCATTTTGGTTGTTTGGGTTTGTGACTATGTATTAGGTAGATCCTCCACACCTCTTAATCTCTAGTGTAAGACAGTGTCAAAGGCAGTTTCTGACTAGTTGGACCAGGCAAAGACTCAAAGCCTCCAGAGACCTCCTCTGTCTATAGAGCAATAGGATTCCTACTTAAATTGTCCCCAGTCAATAGTCCTCAGGTGTGGCGAAAGTTTTTTTAACAGGGTGGGCAGCTGCTTCTGCCTGGAGGCTAATTGTTACTTTTAATTTCTTAAGTAGCCTCAGGGCAAGGTGTTTTACAATAGGGCAGTGGTTCTCAACCTTCCTAATGCTGTGACCCTTTAATACAGTTCCTCATGTTGTGGTGACCCCCAATCATAAAATTATTTTCATTGCTACTTCATAACTGTAATTTTGCTACTGTAAACAATATGTAATTATATATGTGTTTTCCGATGGTCTTAGGCGACCCCTGTGAAAGGGTCATTCTACCCCCAAAGGGGTCATGACCCATAGGTTGAGAACCGCTGCAATAGGGTTTGTTGACTATTTCCCCCCAGGCAAGGCAGATGTCTGTGTGGGAAGATGTCCTCTTCTATGTGAGGGAATGACTCAGCCCAGGAAACTTGGGATGTCTGCCTTCTGAGCTCTATCCCCTGAGTCCCCAGTCCTGGGTTCTGCTCTCACAGCTCCAGTGCACTTCACCCTCCCTCTGCCAGAGCACAAGGTGGATGGCTCCACTGGGAATTTTTGTGCATTGGTCCTTTAAGTGGGTGCCTGAACTTTCAGCTGCCACTCCCTGGCATATAGCACCCTACTGCTTTTCACAGCCAGATGTTACATGGGTATCCTCAGTTTGGTGCTCTCTGCTGGGGAGCCCAGCTTCGGGATTAGATCCCAGAATCTCAATGGCATCCCCTCCACTGAGATATCTCTCTGGGACTTCAGTTGCCTTCTGTGGGTGCCTGGCCAGTCCTTTCTTGCCTCCGCACCTACTACCAGTCTCTGTGTGGTCTCCACCTTTGGTCCTTGGGTATCAGGGTTCTCTCCTGTGAGTTTTCCATTGATTGTTTAGGAAGCCTTTTCGTATTTGAGTTGTAATTCCAGCTTGTTCCCGGGAGCATGTCTGTGCAGCAGCCTCCTACTCTGCAGCCATTTTTAATCTTGTACATTGTTTTTTAGGTAGATTTTTTCCAAATTCCCTGTTGTACCATGTAGCAGTTCCACCAGAAATTTGCCTTTTACTCCATAACCTCAGCAAGATAAATTAATGTCAAATTTAGGAATTTTTGTGAGTCTTAATAAAGATGGAAGTTGGAGTTTGTAATCTGTCTGAGTGAAGCCCAGCATCTTTTAAAAAATGTCCAATGGCTATTTGCATTTCTTTTTCCATGAATTCTCTATTCATATTTTTTACCAATTGAGTTTTAGACTTTTTTTGATATTTAAGAATTTTTATATATTTAAGAAATTTAGGTTTTTGTGAAATGTCACAAATATTTTCTCCTACTTTGTTGGTTTTTGGTTTTTACTTTGCTTGTAGTATTTTTTGTTTTGCAAAGGCACCATTTTTATGCAGTTAATTTTATCAATCTTTTTATAATTTGCTCTACACTCCCAGGCTAAATTCACTTATATTTTCTTCTGGTATTAATATGATTTTATATTTTTACATTTAATTCTTTAACCCATTTGGAGTTTATCCTGATTTAAACTGTTAAATATGTATTGATTCAAGTTTAATTTTTTAGTCTAAAGCCCATTTTATTTTTATTTATCTTTTATTAAATTTATAAGGATGACATTGGTTAATAAAATTATGTATGTTTTAAGTAATACATAATCTGTATATTGCATTGTGTAAGTAAAGGATAAAGGGAGTCAAATATGTATATGGTGATGGAAGGAGATTTGACTTTGGGTGGTAAACACTGATTCAAGTTTTTTTGTACATTTTTTTAAATCCTCACCCGGGTAATTTTTCCATTGATTTTTAGAGAGAGTGGAAGAGACAGTGAAAGACAGAGAGAAATATTGATGTGAGAGAAACACATCGATTGGTTGCTTCCTCCACACGCACTGACCAGGGTCTGGGCTGGGGAGGAGTCTGCAACCAAGGTGCGTGCCTTTCACCGAATCAAACCCTGGAACCTTCGGTCTGCAGGCCAGTGCTCTATCCACTGAGCTCAACCAGCTAGGGCTGATTCAAGTTTTTAAAATGCATCTTTTCCCTAGGTGTTTATGATACCACCTTTGTTATGTACTAACTTTCCATATATACTGGGTCTGGTCTGGTGCTTTCTTTACTGTTCCATTGGTCTTTCCTAATTTTCATGTGCTAATATCATACTAGAATTTTTATTATGATTACTTTATAGTATGTTTAATTTCTAAAAGAGTTACACCTCCCTTTGTACTTTTTTTGGATACAAAATTGTATGTTTAATCAGAATAAGAAAATTAGCCACAAGAAAATAAAGTGTTATACTGATAAATACCACAATCACAAAACACAGAAAAATAATATTTTAATTAATTAATTAACTGCCTGACAAAGCCCATCAACCTTTTGGTGCACAGGACAATGCTAAACTGAGCCACTCTGGCTGGGCACCTTTATGGGAAACCCATTTTCACAAACAAGGAGAGGAGTGGTTAAGCTACTGCTGATCTATAGTATTTACGCATCATCAGGCCCACTTTTAAAGTTTATTTGTGATCATAATTGAACACAGTAAGCAATAATGAAAGAATATCATATTGGATGCTCTGAATCATTTTTTTTCATATAATTTAGATTGTACAATGAAGCTTCATTTACTGTATTAGCAAATACCTGGTGATTTGGTACTTAAAACTTGACTTATTCCTCCTTCCTGCAGGTTGACACTTTATTCATGAAAAATGGTTCATGTAGTTTAAAAAATGCAATCTGTTTTGCTCTACTCATTTCTTTCCTTATGTATGTACTCTTATTTGTAGATAACAACCCTTTTAAATGTAGAATAAACCCATAATGCCCTGTCAGAAACACAAGCTGCCAAGTGCCCAAAATGTTAACTAGTTTTGACATACTTGAAAATGCTCTATAGTGTGTTAGCTAAACTTAAGTTCACCAGTAAATATCTTCTGCTTATGTATATATTTTCTAGAGTATTAATAAATACTATTCTTCATAAATTAAACCTTTATTTTCAGATAATGATTCTTCACAGAGTAGTCTGTCTTCCAGTTACTCTCCAAGGGCAACCGATAGTTGTTTCAGTTCTAGTTCAGAGATGGTAAGTTATGCCACCCTACCTTTTGGGGGTTATTAATATATGCTCTACTAATTTTGAATTATTTGTATCTCTAATTTTACATTCTGAAAAAAGTAGTTGTACTAATAAATTATAGAAATAAATGTAAACAAAAATGTAAAAATATTAAAAATGTAAGAATATGAAATAAATATAAATTAAAATGTAAATGAGCATCATTTATTCACATTTATAACAGTGATGGATGTGTTCATTGTTATTTACAAAAGCCCTTCTTATCAAGATGTGTGTGTAAAATAAAGTTGTGTTTATTTTAAAAGGTTTTTAAAAGAACCCACTCACAATAATTGAAACCCTAAAACAACCAAGAATACATACAAAAAAGAAAGCTTATATGAATAATTGGAGTGACGTCATTTTCTGAGTGGGAATGCTGCATTTCTCTTAAATCACATGTTTAAATGGAATTCTACTCCATTAATGCTTCCATCTTTTTTTTCTTTAATATATTTTATTTTATTTATTTATTTTAAAAATCTTTATTGTTGAGAGTATTATAGATGTCCCTTTTTCCCCTCCCCGGGTTCCTGCCCCACCCCAGGTCTTAACCACCCTGTTGTCTGTGTCCATAGATAATGCAAAAATGCATATAAGATGTTTGGTTAATCTCTTCCTGGCCCCTCACCTTCCCTCTGAGATTTGTCAGTCTGTCCCATGTTCCCATGCCTCTGATTCTGTTATTCATCAGTTTATTTTCTTCATTAGATTTCTTGTTCATTTATTTTGATTTTTAGATTCAATTGTTGGTAGATTACATATCTATTGCCATTTTATGGTTCATATTTTTGGCCTTTTTAAATTTGTTTTCTTCTTCTTCTTAAAGAATGCTTTTCAACATTTCATATAATAATGGTTTGGTGGTGATGAACTCCTTTAACATTTTCTTGTCTTGAAGCTCTTTTATCTGACCTTCAGTTCTAAATGATAGCTTTGCTGGGTAGAGTAATCTTTCATCTGCCTTTGTCTCTAGCTCACTGTACAAACTGCTCTTGCTAAAGGAAAGGCATCGATGACTTCAGTGTTGGCAAATTCAATGGACACTTTTCGGTTTTATTTTATGAGAATTCCTAGTAACATTGATAAAAATAATTATTTTCTTGTTTTGAAACATTTGCTTCCCTTTGCTTTTATGATTACACACTGTCTCTGTTTTCTTCAGACCTCTTTGAGTGATACTTTAAGCTTCTGCCCATTTCTAGTCCACCCTTACCTGCATTTAAATGTGGTAACGATTAAGGTATGCTACAGGACCTTTTCCTCTGTTAACCTACACTCTGAACTGGATGATGTTATATGCTCCAATGACTTCACTATCTATTCAGTGATAGTTCTCAAAACGTTAGCCCTGCTCTTTATTTAGATGTTCACCTTCCTATTGGATATATCTTTATGGATATTTGTAAAAAATCTACTTATTTTCATACTTTAAAATGAATGCCCCGATCTTTCTGATAGTTCTCATGTTAGTAGATACATTTTTCAGCTGCTCACACTGGAAACCTACTAGTTAACTTTGTTATTTCTTTCTGTCTTATCTCTTTTCCTGAACTACATTTATTCCATCACTTTATCCAATCAAGTCTGCCTCCAAAATAAAGTCCATATTTATCTACTTCTCTTCTGGTGTTAGTGTCCTAGTCTGGATATCATCATCTTGTTCATGAACTATTATGGTTGTTTCTTAAGAGATTTCTCTACTTCTACTTTCCCACTTTTTCTCCATCATCATGATCTTTTGAAAACTTAAAATCATGTTATTTTTATTTGTTCAGTGGATTTTTATTTTACTTTGGAATCTAAAATACAGTGGGTATAGGTTGTATGCGTTCTGGCCTTAGTAATATCTCCAACTTCTAGTATTCTCTTAGAATGCTCTCCACTCTCTACAGGTACTGACATTTCACTTTCCTTAGCTTATTAGTCTCTTTTCTGCTTCAGGGCTCTTATGTGTCCTGTTTCCTCTACCTTACTTTTATTCATCTTGTAGGTCTTAGCTTAAGTATGTCACTTCTTCTAAAGTCCCTTCTTAGTTCCTCAGTGTAAATTAGGCCCCTCAGTTATGCTCTCAAAATGCTTCATACTTGTTCTTCCTAGTGTATTTCTCAGTTTATAATTAAACATACATGTGTATGATTATTTGATTAATGTAATTTCTACCCATGAGTATTATTGCTGTAAGAGAGTAGCTATCATATCTGCTTCATTCACATTGCAGATGCTAACGAATATTCATTTCTTGAGTAAATAAATTTATTGAGGTTGTTTTCTCTAACTTGTGCCAGCCAGTCTCAATGCTATTTCTTGGGCTTGCTTTTTCTATTTCAGTGCCAATCAGCTGAGGTATGTACCTCATTTTAGGTTTTTTATGTTAACTTTGCTTTTTTTTTTTTCTCAAGCATGAATAATCAATTTTATACAAGATATCTGTAAAAAGACTAGTAATTAAAAGATACATTTTTCATGAAGTTGAAAGATTCAAGCTAGTAAATTGAAATCTAGACCTGTAAAAAGTTCTTAAAATTTAACTTTTTATATGTTATAATATTTATTGCTATTTAACTTTTCTTTCAGCTATTTGACTTCCTGTTAGTTGGTAACTCTCCTTAAGTTATATGTTTTATGAGACTAAGCCCATAAAAGGTACAATATAGATATTTTTTACTTGCTAAGTTAGAGAGTGAGTAATAGAAGCTTTATGTGCTAGCTATTTATTTCAAAATTATTACTTCTACCCCACTCTTTTAAGTGATTGAAGAGTATTCTGTATACTAACTTTGCTGAGTGGAGGGTAGGGGGATGATGTAGCCTATGATAAACGACAAAATTATTTTCTCTTTTTTACCTCATTTGTATTTTTACTACAAGGATTATTATTGTTCTTGCTATTTTAAAATGTCATAACCTTGATTTTTAAAAACCAGATATCCATCTTGATTTGAAAAAGTCTCTTCTGTGTTTTGAAATTTTTTGTACTATGAATTGGTGCTTTGAAGTGATTGATTTTTTTTTAATTTAAGCATCATTTACAGAAAAATTACTAATTTTTTTTTAGCCATCTGATGATGAAGATCAAACATTGCAGAAAATTGAAGATTCAAGTAGGAGATCCATCAAAACTGAAGAAACAACTAATAATTTTTATTTAGAAAGGATGGCAGAATTTCCACGTGATAGGATTGTTAAAAACAATGAGAAAATTCATAAACAAACTGAAAGTTTTCACCAGGTCTCAGTGAAAAATAACACAGATCAGTCTGCACAGTCTCAGCATAACTCAACACAAGTATTACAAAACCAAACCAGTAATAACTGCACTGTACAGTTTGTGAGATGTGATGCCTGGGTACAAACAGAGAGTGAACCTGTAATGAAAGAAAGATTAGATGCTGCCATACAGTGTGATATAATTTCACAGTGTAAGTGTAGAAGTAATGAGTCTTCTCTTTGTAATGTTGAAAGGTGCAGTGAAAATATTAAGGCAGATACCACTGGAGGGCAGGAAATCCTTAAGAACAACTAAAATTCTAAAATCTCTGCCTGATTTAGCATTTCACTTAATATTCAGAATTTCATCAACATAGTATGGAATGAGAAAGTGTAGCTTAACACAAGGTAAAAATATCCAGAAGATATATTTATGGTTTGTTTTACAACATTTTAATACAAGTTTATATAGGTATTTACTTAGTAGCATTAATATATCTTTAAGTTTTTAGGAAAAATATATAAAGTTACTATGTATCATTCTTATGGTGATTATTCAGTACATTATTTGCTTCTATTTATGGATTAAAAATATTTTAATTGCTTCCTTTCTTGTGCACTTAGTTTAAAATTTAGTGCAGTCACATATTTAGCAAAATGTTCCAAGATTTTCAGACAGAAAAAAATACCAATAATATCAAATATATTTCATAACCTCATAATAATTTTCTTAGCTACTATCTTAAATATTGTCCCCTCATTAAGAATTCTGGCACTAATTTTTTAAATAAAATATATTTCCTGTTTTGTTGGGATAACATTTTTGTGGATACATGTCTACTAAGGAAAATGTTATTCTCTTCAAGATTAAAAAATAGTCAATGCTTTTATTAAAAAACTGTTCAACAATGGAAAAATGATTTATGTTCACTAATTTTAAAATAGCTAATGTTTTCCCCCATAAATATTATATAAGGATTTCTCATTTATAAAAATATAGGCATTGTTTTCAACATTGTATTTATTTATTGTCAAGATTTTTTTTTAATTTTTTATTACAAAGGGTAAGATTTTTAATGTTTGTATTCTAAAATTGTTATTGTATGGATATATTACAAAGAGCCCAGCAGGGGGCATTGTGATATTTAACTGAACTAAAAAGAAATTGTTAGGCATTTCTGTGCCTTTAATGAAAATGATGATTAGATATTGCATTTTTACATGCCTACATATCACTCAATGATTTGTGTTGCAGAGCTTATCTGAAGCATAATGCTTTAGAAACACCAACAGCTAATGTTTAAATGGTAGCAGTCTTTAGTTTTTTAGCTAGTTTAAGGGAGTTAATTTTGCTGCCTCAGAGAGCACAATGAGCTCAAATAATTTTCTTCAAGTATAGTAATCATCTTGTGAAAGGAGAATATAATTACCTGGTTTACATTTATAGTTTTTCAAAAGGCCAGATTTTCATCTTGATATTAAATGGAAGGTATTCCATCATTGATTGATTATCCTGAGCATTATTTTGCAAAACACAAAATAACATAGCAATGAAGACCAATTTATAGAAAAAAAGAAATTAGAATAAGATAGAGCTGTGAATTTTTTGTTGGCTTCAAATAGTAAATAAACTTATTTTTCCCTAAATAATTACCTAAATCTAGTAGTATTGAAAGCACATATATTTCAGAAGTCCACATGTAGTTATATTATTATTATAATTTGGAGGTTAAACTCAGTAAGGTGAAGAGAATATCAGGACTTTAGTGCACTGACCATACAGGGTAAGTAAGGTGCAGTGCAGTAAAGAATTTAAACTTCCCCAGAAAGAGGTCTAACCTTTGCCCTTTGGCTTTGGGGAGGTAATCTCTAAGCCAGTGGTTCTCAACCTTCCTAATGCTGAGACCCTTTAGAACAGTTCATGTTGTGGTGACCCCCAATTTCATTGTTACAAATTGAACATAATTAAAGCACAGTGATTAATCACAAAACAGTATGTATTTATATATGTGTTTCCCGATGGTCTTAGGCGACCCCTGTGAAAGGGTTGTTTGACCCCCAAAGGGGTCGCGACCCACAGGTTGAGAACCGCTGCTAAGCCTTTGAAATGTCATGCCTGATAAAAGTGTCTTTGTTTGCCTGGGGATATTGGGTCAAACTAGATAGTAACAATGTGATTTAGGATGGGACTGAGACAAGCAGTATCATCTCAACTTCCTTAAGGGGCTAGAAACTCTGATCAGCCATCTGGGCAGTCCACCATGCCACTTTGATGGAACTCCAGTAAACACGACACCAGGGCTCAGGTGAGCTCCCTGGTTGGCAATATTTCCTGTGTTGTGACACCTTGATACCGGGAAAGTAACTGTCCATACCTCCACAGAAGGGGACAACTGGAAGCTCTGTATGTATTACTTTCCTAGACTCTGCCCTATGTGTTTTTTACCTAGGCTGGTTTTAGTCTAGGTCCTTTCCCTGTCATAAACTGTAGCTAAGAGTATAATAGCTTTCAGTGAGTTCTGAGTCTTTCCAGCATTTATCAAATCTGAGGCTGCTCTTGGAACCCCTGAAAAGGGTAGTTTTGTGGACTGTTCCCTAAATTTATAGTTACTAACTAACTCTTTAGGTGCTTTAAGAGTTAAATATATTTAAAATATATTTCTGGGAAAGCAAGTATAGAATTACAAAATAAAAAAGACATCTCATACAATAGAATAGATTTTAACATCTCAAATACAATACTGGTTTAGCTTTTCTCTTGGTGAAACCACTTAAAGAAAAAAAATAATTGAAACAGCTTTTTCCCCATATTTACAATTTAAGGTTTATAAAGCAAAGTAAATCCTGGCTAAGGTTTACCCAAATGAAACAAAAGAGAAAACTTCATAATGATTTGCACACATTTGTAATGTAAACTGCCTACCACAGTGACTTCAAATAAGATATTGTACATTCAGTAGTGGGGTTGGTACATTATTTTGGTCAGCATCAACTACTGAGGAAGTTGCCGTCTGAAATAATATGAGGCTATCATTAGAGGTAGTCTCGTGTAATTTACTTTTATAGCAGTTACCATAATTGTAATTTATTCATGTAATTTCTTGGTTAATGTTTATTTTCCCCATGACGCCACATACAGCAGTGTAGCAAATGTTGTCAGTTCTCTGCTAATATTTCCTTGGCCTGTATCATTTTAATACATGCCAGCCTGATTACCAACTGCCAGTACCTTTGCTATTTCCTTTGGGGTTTCTCTGGGCTGCAGACACCTGCTCTGCCTGTGCACAGGCAGTCGGGACAGACCCGGAAGTTAATGCTGTTGGAGAGCAGTGACGAATTGGAGTTGGTGGATAAATAATGCCCCAGTCCCCTGTCTCTTGGATAGAATACTTACCCCAGAAGCATGTTCTACAACACTGACCCTGAAACTATTGAATCAGAATCTCTGGGAATGGGGCTCAGGAATCTGCTTAACAGGAGCTGTTTTTCCGGAGTTCCTCAGAAAAATTAAGCTTCTGTTGCGTAGAATGGTCTCTTGCTTGGTAATAAAGCCCTTATTAGCTTCCTTCCTTTCCTGTCTCCTTCAATTCCATAGCAGTGTTTCTTGAGATCACATCCCTAGCTACATGCACTTGATGATGCCACTTGGCTGCTTCTAGCTGCCTGTAATAAAATTCAATATGATTGTGTTAAGTGAAAGTATGAAAAGAGTTTGGACAAAGATTAATTCCAGGACACCGTCAGGAAAATTAGGAAATAAAGATAACATCAGAGGAGTCCATTATCTGCAAAGATTTCATAAATGTGAGGTGGTATCAAGAGTAGAATGCTGCGAAGACCTCAAAGATGTGTGATGGTATCTTAGATAAATACTGCTAAGGTTCTTAAAGAGCATGCATTGCAAATTGTCAATGTTCAGCAATAGGTGCTTTTAAGGAAACCAATTTTGAATTTTGTGGGTATGGCTTTTTTTTCTAATTGGTTGAACCTCAGTATGATTCATAAGAGATCCACATTGTTTTAAGAGAAGTGTACTTGCAGAAACACTACCTGCTTGGATTAAAAGGGACAAAGCCATTACAACATGGAAAGAGGCCTTTGGACTTTTGAAGTAGTACTGGCAGGAAGCAGACTGGTAAAACTACTTAGCTAAAAACATCAGCAATTTTTTTTTAATGTAAAAGAATGACTAAGGGGGTGGAACCATGAGCTCAGAGGGTAGAGCCAAGACCTATAGAGATGCTGTGCTGCATTTCCAGGCATTTGATCTGACTCTGAGAACCATCAGTATGTAAATGGCTGAACTTCAGAATTGTTATGGATTGGTGACTCCTGTTTCCCTTTCCCCTCGTTTCAGTGGACAAGTCTATAATAATTACCGTATTTGCCGGCGTATAAGACGATTTTTTGGCCCTGAAAAATATGCCTCCAAGTGGGGGGTCGTCTTATACGCCAGGTACACTTCAGATAGACTGCCCATAGTGCTTGCCCCATGCCATAGTGGCCTCCCGATGCCCGCCCACTTCATTCCACATACCGTTCAGGCATCAGCAGCGCTGCTGGGTGTATGCTCGGCTGTTATGCGATTTTGCTGTTATGCGATTTTACCACACTCGCAAAATCGCACACAGCCGACCATACACCCAGTATGATAGCGCAAAATTGCGAATCGCGATACCATACTGGATGTATGGTTGGCTGTGTGCGATTTTGCGAGTGTGGTAAATTCGGGTTACCGTATATTTCTTTACATATGCATTGAAGATTCGCGATTTTGCGCTATCATGGTGCCTGTTAGAATGTTGAAGAGCTCGCACTTGC